GCCTGCAGAGAGCAATGAACACCCAAATCCCTCATGTCACCTGCCAGCACCGAGTAAAGCAGGCTGTGAAGGACCTCAGTGGAGATAAGAATTGTTTTCTCTGAGCTTTCCCACAGCTTCTCAGGAAAATCCTGCGAGAGAATTGTCTCTCTCTGTTCAGAGAATATGTGAATACTACAGACCTTCACATACACGATGCATGTCAACTAAAATGCAAATGCAGATGTATCAATAACCAATACATGATATATCTCAAGTGGTAACATCAGCTGAAATGCTAATGCTGATGTGTCAATAACCAAGAGCTTGAAGCTGTGCTCTGCTTTTATGAGAGCAGTCCCTGCCTGCTTGAGTGGATGCTGTCTCTTAGAGACACAAGTTATCATTTTCTACCTTCAGATAATATCCATGATATGACTTTTCAGGTTTTGTTTCATTCATAAATTTCTTCAGGCTTCCTATACACATGAAAAGTGGGAGGAGGAAGGACCTGCTCAGTTTCTCTAAAATGGAAATTCTTTACAAATACAAAGATGAAACCAATGTCTGACTCAGTAGCACTATGAATTGACACCAGATGAGGATGGGGTGGCCAATCTCACAGCCTTGCTAAAACAGCATCACAATAACCAAGAAAGAGAAAGCTAACAAACTGTGATAGGGAAGGAAATCTCATGCATCAGGTTAAAGAATTCTTTGGTTCCCCTTTGATTTTGTTCAGACTCCAACTCCTTCCAGGGACAGCCAGCACACAGGGATGGGAATTCCCAGTGAACTTACCTAAAGCTGCCATTCTGCTTCACATCAAAACGTAAGAGATCAGAGAGGCCATTGATGATATTTTGATTTAAAAGAAAATAAATGCAGGCCAAAAAAGCATAATTAAAGCTGTGATTTTTCACCATGAAGAACATATTCAACCATTTTATATTAATTTGCAATGCACTTCTAAGCTTCTCACAGGAGCAATTCAAACTCCTAAGTCATCACATAGCATCATATCATCTACTGATAACCTGTCTAACCCAGCTTTGTTTCTACTGACATTTCCTTCCTCTGCCACGTGTTCCAGATTGAAAATCTTCCAACAGGCAGTGTGATGTGTCTAACTTTCAGAATGGGAGTTAAAACCCTTTATTTCTGTTCTGTGTGATCCCAAGCACATAAACCAAGTCTCAGGTTTCTGAGCAAGGACAGGAGTCCCATGCCAATACAACAGGCTGTTTTTATATACATCACTTTTAACTTCAAAGGGCCTCCAGATAACAGCCAAAGGTGGCTGTCCAGCATTGCCAGTGCTGTGCACTGCAGCTGAACTGGTCTGCAATTACAAAGAAAGATCCCAAGTCCTTCTCCTAGAGAGGCCTCTGCCTTTTAAGGGAAATTGAATCTCCTTTGAAATTAAGAACAATAACCTGCAGTTGCTAAGACAGACCAATGATCCCTTCTGGTCTGCCTCAGGGAAGATAAATTCACAAGAGTTCATTGCACTTCACAGACGAGGAAACTGAGTTACAGGTGCTCCCGGATGTCCTTTGAGATGCACCCAGAGATGAAGAATCAAAAAAGGCTGTAATTAACCCACAAAAAATGATGTTATCCCACTCCAGTTACTGTGAGAGACACGGGAACAAGTCACTCCAAGATGCAATAATTCCAATTCCAGAGATCACAGGCGTCCCTTGGCGGAAAAGTCATCTGTAATCCACTGCCATGAGAAAAGAAATATCCTGATTTTGTTCTCACTAAGATGAGTGAAAAAGCTACCTGGAATAGCACCACAGGAGGATGAGAATTGAGCTGTTAGAGGAAAAAACATCCAGGGACACAATTATCTTTTTGTTTCACATTTGTACAGTACCTAGGGCAGATCCTGAATGCAATATCCTTGACTTTAACACACAGCTATGGCAGAGATGCTGCTCTGAAGGTGTCATTTCTCTCCTGAGGGTCCCCAGCACACAGCTCTGCAGGCAGAACAGAACCAGCCAGCACTCTGGACACAAAGCCCAAACACCAAAGGTGAAATGAGGTAAGAGAAGGTTGGGTGAGCTGCCTGGCTTCCTGCTGAAAAAGGTGAGAAGTGCTACAGGTTCTTCTCCTTCAGCAATGTTTTGGAAATAGAAACTGCCAGGACGGAACCAGTAACAACCAAATCAGAGACAGTGGAAGCAGCAAAGCACCAAAGAGACAAAGCAAAGGAAGCAAAGGCTTGCTTTTGTCTAAAGCCCTTTCTGTTAGCTGAGTCATATCAGACATAGCCCCTGTGGAGATCAGAAGTCATAAGAGCACAAGTCAACACTCACAGTGTGACTAAACCACACCACTTTCTTCATAATCCTTATCAGTTAATAAGATGTAATGAAAAAACAACTACACAGGCACAAGCAGAGGGGAAAAAAGCCCAACCAGGTGGCCATTCTACTTAAGCACAGCTATCTGTACTGATGGATCAACCAGTGATGCATAATGAGGTGGGGAAACTGGATTAAATAGATTAAATCTTTGCCCTGATCCTAATGTGAAGACCTCCTGTACACCAAGGAGTCAGGGATCCAACTCCCAGTTACTCTGGATGGTCTGTGCTGTGCTGCAGGGGGATCCTGGCTGTGGTGGGATGCACATTCCTCCTGGATGCAGGAGAAACTTGTTCGTCACCTGTCCATCTTTGTTTTCACCTAAGTGTAGCAACAAGCTCTCCTGTGAACACCCTTTTCATCTGGCAGTAGGAGAGAGGAATGGAAATGTCTTTAGAAATAAAAAGAAAAGGCTCTGAGAGTTGAAAAGATCAAAGTGTAAGGGAACATTTGCACAGACAGATCTGCATGGTGTGCTGCGTCAGGCTGGAGGGCTCCTCCATGTCAGACAGCTCAGGGTTTCTGGGATCTGATGGAATGTAAGATTATTTATACTCTCCTCTTTTTTATGCAATGCTACCTCTAGCAAATTGTGTTTTAAGCAATAGTCTAAAGAGTCCAAGTTTCTCACTGAGATCATAACAAACCAGCACTTCTGGGTACTATTCTTAAAGGATGGATGTACACTCAGCAGTGGAAAGAAAAGTGGTGACCAAGCTTGGCTTGCTGTAGGTTTCCTTGCAAAATTCTTACTTATTACTATGACTATTAAATAATTAATATTTGCACTGCATATTCATTATTTTCTACTGAAAATGCAGCATAACAAATAACTGGTACTGCCCTGTGCACAGCTGAGTCCATGCTGTGACATGTTACTCAGATAACACTGAAGAGAACAGGCAGGTCTGTGTGCTCAGCTAATTAATTACCTGACTGGTCAACTGCTCCAGGTCCTGCCCCTAGCAGAGTTTCACCCAGCCCATGTGTCTTAAATGAAATCATCTGTGTAGATGTGCATGTGCTCAGACAAGTTAAACTCCCATCTCTGTGTAGATGTTCTTTGTTCTTGAGGATTAGCTGGGTTACACGATGATGTGGGGTTTTTCAAAGTGGAAATTACTCTAGTAGAGAAGAAAGAAAAGCTGCCTTAGACAATACATGCTACAGCTCACATTGCTGGCAGAGATATCTGCACGGTTATACTGTTCAGATTAAATCTTTTAAATATTTAACACACTTTCCCAGAATGAAGTGCAAGCCAAATAATGGCTAGCTGCAGCTGAATCCAGACGTCAGACCTCCAGGGGCTAAATTCAACTCCAGAGCCCCCTAAAATCTTCACATCTGACACTCAATGTCTTACTGATGCAGAGACATAACTAAGATGAAGGTGAGCTTTCCTTCTGATATTTCATCTTATGGCAAAAGAGACCTTGGAAATGCTTTTCTGGAAACATGCTGATGGTGCAACATCATGGCACGTTTCTTTCAGACAAAGAAAGTGACAGGCCCTCGTAGACGCTCTAAAATAACTTAAGAGCACAACAGATATCAGGAGAGGCACCTGTATGTGTATGATGGAGGAAACTGGCAAATGATTCACCTGATGCCATTTATCAGCCTTCCCCAGCCACATTTCCAGAGGGAGATCAGCCATCCTGCTGCCCCACCTTAAGACTGTAATCGCCCTCCTCCAGGAATTTTCCAAATTACATCCAAAACGCCTTTTTCTCTCTAAACCTCTCCTTAGACGGGGCAGATAAACATACACCTCGGGCTTGCTCCGCTTCCCCCTGTAGCCTGGGAAGAATTTCCAGGGAATTTTTACATCTATTCCCACCTAGAGCAGTTTCAGCCATGGAAAAGCTGCAGGAGGAACGCAAAGAGCCTCACGCTTCTTCTCCCGGACTAACAGGTTAAAGGGAGAGCGAGATCGCCTTTTGAGGGGATGGGCGGCCAGTTGCAAAGAGGAAAGGAATATTTGATATTTATTTCGCGAAACACACAGAAGAAAGCGGCGGCGGCGGCTGGGAGACCCCGCGGCCGCCTCTCCCACGCCCCCTCGCGAACCCCCAGCCCGGTAACAAAGCACCGAGACAAATCCGTGTCCATTCGCCCACCCGTGGATGCTCCATTGCCCCTCCAGACCTTGAGCCCGTAACAAAGCACCGAGACAAATCCGTGTCCATTCGCCCACCCGTGGATGCTCCATTGCCCCTCGGGAACCCGCGAGCCCGGTAACAAAGCACCGAGACAGATCGGTGTCCATTCTCCCACCCGTGGATGCTCCATTGCCCCTCGGAACCCCCGAGCCCGGTAACAAATCCGTGTCGATTTTCCCACCCGTGGATGCTCCATTGCCCCTCCGGCCGATGTCACCCGCTCTCTCTCTCCGCTGTCACCTTGCGCTGCACAGCGCGGCGCCGCTTTACCCTCCACCCCTCCCGGTGATTTTCTCATGCTGGAAAATCCCACCTGACCCACCTACCTCCTGCCTCACCCTCCGGGCAGCCAAGCGCCCCGGCCCCGACAACACCCCGCTAAATTTAGCCCAGCACCCAGGCAGGGCCGGCGGGACGGGCGCCGCGCACACACACGCGGGGACACAGCACGCCGCAGGTGCCGAGCGCAGCTACTCACACCACGAGCCGGGAGATGATCCATGAGACCATGGCGCTGCCGTGTGCCGCAGGGCCGGCTCTCCCGGCGCCCAGGGCCCGCCCGCCGTGCTCGCCCGCTGCCGGCCGCCGCCCGAGTGCGCGGGGCGGGCGGCTCGGCCATCCGGCCCCGCAGCCTCAGCGCAGCCTCACTGGCGGCGCCGCCCGCAGCCAACGCGCAGCCCGGCCCGGCCGCCCACTCTGGGCAGGGCCCGCAGCCGCCCCCCGCGGGAGGAGGAGCAGGAGGAGCCCCCCAAGCTGCCCGGATTCCCCAGAGGGAGCTCTGGCGTGCGGAAGGGGTCCCCGCCCCAGCCGCTTCTGGAGCGCCGCGGCCGAGCAGGACACCAAGGAAACCCAAGGGACTGTTCACATCAAAGGAATGGCAGAGCTAAGGCTCGGGGTCCATAGAAAGAGAGGGGTTTCCCCGGTTCTCCCCACGCCCCAAAGTGTCCAGGCACAAGGGTGCTGGCCGCAGGATCCAGGTAAATTCCCATCAAGCAGGAATCGCTCCTCAACATCACTTGTCATTAGCAGATCTCACGGATCTCTCAAAGTCCAATTTCCACGAGGAACAGCTGCCCACACACAAAACAACATATGTTGGTTTGACCTGCAGGTTGGTCTCTAAGTGTCCTTTAGGTTCTATTCCTTTCTTTCACTGACACATGGGAAATGTGGTTAGATTGCCCAAAATCATCTCCCCTGCTTTGGTGTTCCCCTTCTACTGGAAACACACAAGCCCATGGCAATTAATGATGAGGTTTTGTCTTGTAGTAATCCTGAGATCTCAAGCTTGCCACCAGAGCTGCCCCAAGCTTTACTTGGAGGTTGCTCTATGGAGCAGCTGGCCTGCTTGTGGCATTAGGCCCAGGGCTGTGGAGCAGCTGGCCTGTTTGTGACACTAGGTCCAGGGCTCTGGCCACCCCTGTCCCTGGGTGCAGGATCCTCACCTCCACACCACAGTGCTCTTTCTGAAGACTGGGCAGCTGCAGCAAAGTGACCCCATCATTGTGAGACAGCAGGGCTGAAAGATGCTGAAAATCTCTCATGTACTGCAAGTAACCTGGGAAGAACTCCTGCAAGGAGAGACTAAACATTTCAAACCAGAGGCAGCAGCTCTAGGAGCTGATCACAGACTTCCCCAGTCCCAGGTCACCACAGACATCCTCACAGCCCTGTCCACAGTATCCAGAACAGTTTGGTTGAAAGAGAACTTAAAAGTCATCTCATTCCAACTCCCTGCCAGGGGCAAGAACACCTCCCACTATACCAGGTTGCTCAGAGCCCCATCCAACCTGACCTTACAGCTCACCTTTCCTCTGCTTAGATGAAAATTTCTCCATAATAGAATCACCTTTTTGTTGTCATTTTATTGCAAAGTTCCCATATCTTCTCGGTGATTTCTCATGAGAAGCTCCTCACAGCACAACCAACAAAACTCCAACTCCCCTCACCCAACTAACCCACTCTTTTATAGCACTCATCCCCATTGGACACAGCTGTGGCCTGTTAAGGGCAGGCCTGTTCCTAATCTTTGGTGATTAGCACAGCTGCAACTCCTCAGGTGTGAGATCACCTTCTGCACTATCTTTATTTTCTTACATTCTATCCCACCACACCTTTTCTCATGTTGGCTCTCTGGATCTGCTCCCCAGAAAACCAATACGCCGAGGGACAGACAGACAGACCAACAACTCACAGCCTCCAGGTAAAGCTGCAGGCACAGAGACACGTAACTAAAGTTATTAGAGCTCAGCACCCCTAGCAATTAAATTCGGGGGAGGCGAGCGCTGCGCTGGCCGCAGTGGGTCGGTGCCTCCAGCAGGGGGAACTTGCAGCCCGCGCTGTGACCGGGACCCGGCACCCCCGCAATCCTGGGGTACAGCGGGGCTGCGAGCCGCAGCCGCAGGTATGGGGACACCGCACACTCCTTCCCCAGGGACTCCAAGGGTCCAGAGTGGCAGCATCGCTCCAGCCAGCACGGACAGGCACCGCAAAGGCAGCGCTGCGCGGTGCGCTGCAGTAAGCGAGTGTAAATCAGCCGTCCTCTGCAGGCGTGCTTGCTCTCGGTGAGAACTGCCTTCTCTCCAAAAGAAGCCATTAGGTCATCCAGCCCAAATTCTTAAAGCGGTGAATCATCCTGTGGCGGTCTTGCTTGTATATCGTAGCCAAATAAGTACTTGGAGATCTGTTATCCGAGATTTTTCCTGTGTCAGGATTATTTGGTGCGAGCTTTTAGACTGCACGTTGGCAGACGATTCACAACATTGTTACAATTAATGATGGGATATTATCAAGTACAAGGCACAGATCTCTCTGCAAGAATATTTGTGTTATCACCAAAGTACATAAAACTTGCCACTCAGTACTTGCTGCATGTTTCCTGGACCGACGAGAGAAGATATTGGATCATAAACTCAGATAACACAGAGGGCAACACCCAAAGCTGCAGCAAAACATTTTAGTGCTCAAATCACAACTCAGCCTCGTGTCCCCTTGATTCCCTCCAACGTTGAGCTAAGAGCAATTTCAGAGAGCAACTCAGTGAGGAGGGTATTTGGGGGATCACTCCTTCTAATAAGTACATCCAGCCCTTTTACACAGCACAATTTATGGTTAAATTTCATGCATATTCATTACATTCCTTGGGATAGGAGTGCTTATACAAATTACTTCTCAGAAATCACTAACAGCCTTAGCGTATGTAACACACAAGTGCAGTGTACTCTGGTAGGAAGGCTCCAAGTGAGTCTTCCTCGGGGATCGTTCCGATGAAGGCTGGCAGTCTTCCTCACTCTGCCCTTTTCACCTTCCTTTCTGAAGCATGCACAGTCCTTCACTGGCCGGCCCAGCGTTTTCTGCTGACAATAGGTTTCGTTTGTCTTATCTTGCCAAGGTGCATTCTGCTTCTCTTATCTTGACAGGGCTAAGGCGAATCCTGCTTCTTAGGCTTGTGGTTAGTATTTGTTGACTCCTAATTGTTAACTCATGTAAGTGTGAGTAACCAACTTCTTTCACTCTTGCCTCCTCCAGCTCACCATGTTCCCTGCAGCTCCTGTCAGTTACCACTGCTCTTTTCTGGGCAGCAAACCTCAAAAATGTTAGAAGATTTTATTTTTTGTTCTGGCTGGCAGCAATCTCTGAGAGGGGTAAGCAGGACATGGACCCTTGTTGTGCTGCTGCTTTGTACACAACTGGCACGACCATTACCCGATGACTGATCTTAAGCCTCAAATGTACACAGATAGTTAACAAGGCAGTCCGGTGACTGCAAACCTAAGGAAATGCAGGGAGCTTTACTGAAACAGCTGTTTGGTAAACAGAGGGTGAGGGAAAGACATTCAGCTCCACTGAGCCAGCAGTGGAAGGGTGACAATGCCCCCTACCTACTCCTCATGGGCTGTGTCTCAGGACAAGTCACACTCTTGCGAACCCGAAAAGAAAGGCTTACAAAGGCATTGGAAAGGAGATAGGATCAAATGAAACGCAATTTAAAAAAAAAAAAAAAACAAAAAATATCCTAGAAAATCGGGAGAGTTAGTGAATTCGAAAAATGGTCTGTGAGGAAATGCGCTGCAGTGCAAAGGACCAAAACATGCCAAAACTAAGCTGACAGATGTTGCAAAAGCAGAGGGAAAAGTCACGGAGGAAGACACAACTTGGAGGGGAAGATATGAGGGACATGGCATGGAGACTTAAAAAAAAAAAAAGAAAAAGACAAAAATCTTCCCCAAAGTGAAAGCCATCAAAAGGCATGGCATGCCATCAAGTGAAGAGCTCTGTGCCTATGAGCTCTGCATGTGGCATCCCAAGCATCCTGGAAAGAGGCTTTGCTTGAAGAAAGTCGTCCCTTTGCTGTAAAACCACCCCATCCAGTCTATAAAAAATGAAACCAAACTGAACAAACAAAAATACTCCCAAAAAACAGAAGAGTTAAAGTGTAGGAGCAGATATAAATTAATTTATACAGCCAGCTCAGCAGGAATGCCATCCAATGCTCATGGAACATTTTGGAACTGCTTTAGCAGTAGAAGGTTTGGCAGTGGAAAATCCTGTCCAGATTGCACCATTAGATGGTCTGATTTCTTCTTCCCAAATTATAAAACAAATCAGCTTTGTTACTGAAGGCAGAGCCACCACCCTTGCTGTAAATACTATGGAGTCTTCCCCCAGCAACTACTTTTTCCAAGAAGTTCACAGCCACGGAAAAGTCAGACCCCCCAAGAGCTCTGCTATAATCAGTCATTCCTCTCAGGGAAAGGGGATCTCTGCCTCACAGCTGAACAACAACTGCCAAGCTTCTCAGAACAAAAGCGTCACTGACATACATGCACGGGGCTCTGCTACCAAACCCAGAAAAGGTCAGCAAGCAGCAAGTGCACACAACTCCTGCGTCCTCCAATGAATCAAACCTACACCAGAGGCATTTGAGAACAGCTGAAGTGCAGGCAACCCAGCCAAGAAACGGAGCCAGGAATAGAGAAACATATCAGACAGAAAATCTGTGAGAGTCGGGTGCTGCAGTTCACGTGGCAAAACCAAAAATTAAAATAAGAAATAAATAAACTACACATAACCATAGTGCACACATGTATCATGCGGTGTTGTTACAGCACCTAAAAAGTATCAGGAGAAGAAAGATAGTTTCATCAGGAATAAATAGTCTGCATCCCATCAAGGAATGCACACACACACACAGAGAGATAAATATATTCAGCCTCTTGAAAGGCTGAATATTTGGTGTTATAATTATAAACATAAATATTTGGTGTTCCACTCACTGGAATAGAATGGGTGATTCCTTGCATTTATCTCCTGATTTCTACTTGAGAAGCAAAGCAAAATAAATGAAGACCTAATGAGGTGACACGGACAATTAGAACAAAAATCCAAGAAGAATGCAGCTCCTGAACACAGTAATGAAAAATGCCCCTTTCTGAAATGACAGCTTTACTAACAAATATGGAGTAGACAGGAAAAGGTTAATTCTACCCATGGGGGAGAATTGTTACAGCATGGGGAGACACTCAGCATTTCCTGGCTGC